GTGCGTAACAAAGTACAGGCATGACCGAAAGGGTTGGTTTGGTGCACTAATCCCGACCTCTGCCTTTAAAGAAAAACTAGCTGGCAGGACTGCTGCCGGATAGTGGGAGATGTTCTCTGTCATTCTTCTGCTATCACTCGTTCCTGCAAGGTTCTGTCATAGTTTTGGCTTGCACCACCTTCGGAAGAAATTTTATCCATACATAAAACTTGAGCCCTATGTATGATTGGAAGGTTTTCTTTCTTTTCATGCTTCATTCTTATTTGTTTCATTTATTGTTTACTACTATTTATTTTTATTTACGACATTCTCCCGGTCTTCCGACGTTTTGCTATGAGTTCAAAATGAGAGAAACGATGAAATCCTTTCTCTCGATTAAGCCTTTCAGAGCTATGGAAATATGTGGTTCTGTTTTTCTTAATCGGTTTGCTCGCCGCGTTAGCCGTTTATTTCCTCACCTGTTGGGCCGAATATCTGGAAGTGGTCGAGACAAAGTACGTCATTCGAGAGGAAATTTTCGCATCAGGTGAGCCATCCATGCTGACAGCTGCTTTCATCCGCTGAGCCGTGGGGATCTGCGAGCTGGAGGGTGGCGCTCACTTACGTTCGATGAGTGCCACCAGCGAAATCCTTGCAAAAACAGCTGATATTTTGGCTTTTGGTGGATGTAGAGCACTTCACGACGCAACGACTGCTTTAGTCAATTTTTTTCTAATTATTATTATTATTGTTTCAATTATGATTTTATTTTATTATATTTTTTTTCAAATGTGTACACTGTGATAAATCAGTTTGCTACAGATTTCATTATGTACCAATATAATTAGATACTGTTACATTTATATTATCGATAGATTATGGCCAAGCATCCATTAATGTAAAGGGTTGGGATTAAGGGGAGGGGGTGAGGGGCACAAGGTAGTAAACTCCTGAGCCTAATCCGACTAAGCGGTTCAGCTCTTTCAAACTGATTACTCGGTACCAAACCTCCCTGTCCGTTCGCACTATTCGCACGAGGGAGTCACAATTGTAATTTTGGGAAGAGACGCATTTTAGGGTTGAGCAAGGTTATCATGATGGAAAAGGGGGTCGACGAAGACCGTAAAGGTTTTTTAGACAACTCTGGTGAAAGTTCTACGAAAGTAGTCAGAATTAGGCAAAATTGGTGGATTGGCTCCTCATGGTACCAATTTACCCCCTCCCCCTCCCCCCGCTCGACGGTCGTTTTGGAGGGAAAAGTGGGCGGTGTTGGACTGTGTCGGACGGTCTCTGAATCAAATACTATAGAATCAGCTACGATGGTGAGGGTGGTGTCGGAGAACGAGGAAGGAGGATCGTACTAAGGGAGCCTTCTGAGACTGATTTTTTTGGGCCGCATCGAGACCCCTCCCCCCCCCCCCCCCCCCCTCCCTTCATTGGCAGGGCGGTCGCAAAATTTTTGAAAAAGTGACGGTTTACCGGAAAACCTTTTTACTGGATGACAAATATTATACACTGACCCGTTCATCTCCCGGTAGTTCTCGCATTACATGAAGTTTGACCGGTAGTTCTCGCATTACATGAAGTTTGAACAGCATTCAAGAACCACTGCGATTTTGGGAGGAAGAAGAAAGGCGGCGCATACCGAGAGGGAATTGATCGGCATCAGATTTTTTATCTTTTTATTTTGTTCAAATTATTTTAAGCGATGCTCATCATGGATCAAAGCTAGTGTTTTATAAATACAATGTTGCGATAAAAGACGGAATTGTTTCAGTCGTGCATCATTCGCTCATTCCATGGAATCTCACCAATTCGATTTGTAAGTTGACGGTTTATTCAGAATTAGTGACATCTTTCTTCAGTGCTTTTCGAACAACTCCCAATACTTCACATTTCCTGAATGGAAGTATTCCCCCTCCCGCATAGGAGGTATCTCAGTCCACAAACGCACAGAATGCGCATTTTTCAGGCTCCAAGGTGGTCTAAATAGAACGATTTATCAGTATGGTCGCCCAGTTTCACCGTAACGACGTCGCTCTGGGCGCGCTGTTAAGGTCTGGTGCTCGCAATCCAACCGCCGCACGTGCCCCAATGCAGGGTCAACCGCTATGTTGCTACAAGTACAACGGGGGGAGGGGTCGTATTTGGTTGAGCTTGAGTGGTGGAGGGGTCGTACTCTCTCGGTGGCCGGCAGTGGGATTCTTGGTAATATCCCTATTGATCATGGTGGTGCGAGGGAAAGAGCAAACGCAGCAACAAATGGGGTACCCAATGGTGGGTGCCACCCTAAAATTTTCTTCTTTACCCATTTAAAACATTTTCAACATATCAGTAATTATAAGCAAGCTCCGTTACGCCTATGTTTAGCATATTTTGCAGAAATGTTTGTTACTAGCTAATTTATATGAAATTTTAGGATATGGCACTTCGCTCGGCGATGTATTAACTAGTGTTTTACATTATTAAGCTTAAGGTGAATTACAGATCAGGACCTCTACGTCTTTTCACAGTCTTAAGACACAAGGAGGAGTTTGAACTATATCAAAAATTCTACTGTACATTTGAACTTCTAGAGTTTTCAAACACCATCCCTTTGAAATCCGAGATTTCTTTCCAAACTTCCACTTCTAATTCCAACAATACATGATCATAAAGCTTAAGACTGCAGTCATATTTTGTTTATTGTCATAGTCAAAATTTTGATAGAAAAACTGCTTTTAGGGACAATTTTGCCCCATTTTGTGCGAGAGTTGGGCGCGCCAAAAAGAGGCGTGGTCCCACGAGCACGCTACGTGCAAATCCGCATTGTCGTCAAAGGGTTAAGCTGCCTCAATTTGATGCCCTAGGCTGCGCTCTTTCACCGGAACAGCGCCTCATGACAGCGTGGTCCAAAACAAAACTCCCAATCCCACGCTCCTACCACACTAATTCGCTCAATCACTCGTCTCCGTCCAAGTCTTAGCATCAGGGACTTCCTCCTTGAGTTGGAGCTGAGCCCGGCGGCATTCGCTGATCGTCTGTGCTGTAGCTGTTTGCGGCAAAGAACATGGAGGGGCGCTCAATCAATCACGTAGCCCTCCTAGGGTACGTGGTAGAGGCTTACATCTCTCCGCCCATCCGCAAGAAGTGCAACTCACAAGTGGTGCCGCGATGGTGTCTGCGCCCCTCTTGCCTCAATACTGATGGCCTTGGCGTGACTTTCTCCTGTTTCAGTTTATACAATGCTCTGGGAAAAACTGCCAAAGGGGTCTTATCCTTGATTTTCTACAGGATCTCTTCCGCTTTTTTTTTCTTGATGAGCCGACCATACAGCAGCAACAAGTACTTTTTCGAGCTCCAATAGCCACACCTTCTTTTCCCGGAATATGTCCCAAAAGGGAAAAATATTCCAAAAATTCAGGAAAGATAAGTATACGTGGAATATATTTCATGGCTTAAAAAATCACTGAAAATCGTCTACACGGAAGTGAATCAATGAGGGGGTTCCAAAATAAATGAGGGAGCTCTCTGTTCAATATGAAGTCCTGGGAGCAAAATGAATCGAAGGTGAAGAAAAAAGCATGAAAAACCCTTAATGAAGTCCAAAATTAGAATTTCCAGGGCGGCGCCAATGCTCCGTCCCTAGCACCCGCACTTGATCCTCGGTAAACCACCCCGCCAATCACATGCTCCTCGCTTGCGTACCACTACAAATTTGACAGAGGAAAGCTGAATTTCGACTAGTTATCACTAACCTTGCCTTCAAGTGCTGAATTACAGATGCTCCAGTTTGTTTGGGTCTCTCTGTGAGGCGACTGGGGGAACCGCCGTCAAGGCTAATAGAGACCTGCTCCCGTCTGGTCACAATCATCTCTCTCGTCATGATCGCCAAGGTAACATAGAATCTTTATAGAAATGAAAAAGTAGTACTTACTGCGCAATGATGAAACCAAGTGCTTGACTAAATGCCCGAATATGTGTCCTAACACACGAACCACAAATTGTTTCTTTCATTATAACGCCACTGACAATGAGTATATCTTGCCGTCAGCACAACCTCGGTTTGTTCTTTCGAGTATGTAGGGAACATGGGGCCAGCGTCAGTGGGCGCGCATCATACGACACTCTGACAAGATAGTAGGAAGTGGCAGACAGACTTACTCGATGCTCCCGCCCTGATGACTCTGCTTATAGTTTCAAATTTCTTCATTGAAGACTACACTAGGTTGTCAAAAATGCTTTATCGGCTAAGGTTTCGGTGGGTTCGCCTTCGTCAGAGCCTGCAAAAGGTCTAGCCAATTAATGAGAACCCGATCAAACGTCGCCGCTGCCCTATAGAATTTCTAGATCTGACATAACATCAGTGAGCCACGAGTTGGACAACTCACCCTATCTAGTCCGACTCTTTCCAAAGCCACGACCAAGCAGCACCGGCTTTCAATGCGGACTCTTTCCATATGAAAGTCACTACTGGGGAGGGACTACTGGAAGGCCAATCTTATATAAGGTCTTAACTGCCTCGTTATCATGAGGCCTTCCTTCCTCTGATTCGTTTTATGGCTACCGACGTGCATTCCAAATATCTCGAGGGTTTTTCATGCAGATGTTTCTGATTCTTGGGCCAAGATCTTCACTGTGAAGTCAAAATCGGGTCGGTCTCGGTTTATTTTCCAGGACACATTGAGCCTGAGCCCTGAGGGCTCCTGAAGCAGTTGATGAGCAAGACTTATTTTTGTCCTTTATGTGCTCCTTTACACGTACACGAAGCACGAAGCAGTCTTGCCGTCTCAGCGATATATCTCGTCCCCACAAGTGGAAAATGATTCTGTAAACCACTCCTGAAATGTTGCAATCACCAACCCTGCTGATCGGACAGACCACACAACTGGGGGTGGTACATAAACGGTCGTAAAGCCGATTGCTAGGCAGTGCTTCAAGTATGATGAGCCCAACCACCTGTTTAACTGTTCAGGGCCTTGAAATGTTCAGATTCTGATAAAACTGGCCAGCTCTGATAACCCAGATTTTTTTCGCGGTCTCTGGCAATCTCGGCCACGATATACAGTCAAGTATAAGTTTTATGAGTAACACCGCCCACTTCTGTGCACCCAACATTAACCTTGTCATATCCCTCTGTACACCAATGTGTTGATCTTTCATACCAAGTTTTTTCCTTCGTAGGCTCTCTTATGACCGGGTTGTGAACTTTCTCAGTAAGCACCTCCCACCTGAGAACCTTCCGCTTTGGCAACACAGCACACCTTTACCATTTCCTACGGTTTCTGGGATAATCCTGACGAGTGTTCTCGTCTACCCCAATTTCGGCGCAAGCCCCGTGCACAGTGGATGGACTCCATTCGTCTGATGTGTATTCGTACCTTGACCTCCCAAACTTGACCCTGAATCTCCAGATGACTTTTCAGGTTATACGGAATTTGAAATAATTAGCCTTTTCCAGTTGTATTCTATCAGTTGTCACTAATTACAGCTCTCATTCACTATGTATCAGATATCACTATGAATCACAGTTATCAGATTCACTTGGAAGTCGTCATCAGCTATTGTGTATTGTGCACTTGCACGCTTCTGGTTTTCCAAAACACAGGGTACATATCTTTTTTCAGGGAGTGCGATTAGGTTGGAAAATCTGGCATGCTCGTAAGATAACAGTGGACGCTGAGGAGTTGGAGAACAATCCAATAAAGGTGCTCTCGGAAACGCTACAGAAGGACTTTCTCAGCCACATTGCTGACTCCGGGCTGCCGTTTTGATTAGCGGCTGTTGTGTATTTTTTGTCAGCTCAAGAAATCATTCCAACGTTCTTCCTAGGCTAATTTTGACTCGAAGAGGTGTTGCGAATGGAATGAGCTCAAGACTTTTTCTTATACGCTCTAATTATAACAACAATCCAATTTCGTGAAATCTGAAGGTTATGTACTGTAGAAAGAGAGGGCATCTCATCTGACTTAGGGGTTGTAAAATTTGACCACTATAAGGTCGATGTCATACTCCGCGAACCGAACGATTTGCTAGCATCGCAACGCAACCGCGTACGCTAGCGAATTGCTCGTAGCGCCGATCGATTCGCAAAGTCTGACATCGGCCTGAAAAGTCTAGCCACAAGCTTGCTAATCCAAAGAAGTAAAACGTACCCATACATGGAGGAGATGAAGGTAGCTCGTGGAAATTCTTGATCTGTACGTCTTTCAGCGACTTATCGTCGCGTATTCCGGCACTGACCTTGTGTTCCCCTTTGTGGATCCACTACTTTTTCCGGAGTTCGTTCAGTTTGACCGGGTTCTTACTGCTGCAGGCGAAACTAGCCATGGGTTGTGAAACCTCCGATCGGGGAAGGTAATTCGTGTATTTTTGAATCACCTCGGCACCATGGCTTATCCTGCAAAGTGTAATTGGGATTTGTTCGAGTGCTGCTGCCATGCCGAGAGATTTGCTTGTAGGCATATGTTGTTTCTTGCCGATGGCATAACCTCTTGGGAATTCTATATGTAACAGGATGAAGCGCAACAGTGTTTTGCAGCAAGAGTAATTTCCTTTCTAAGAATAGCCGGCATCAGTTTCATCGAGTAGAGGACCATAGAGGCAATTTTAGCTCAACATGATTTGTATAATACTATAAGGCTGTTGCTATACTTGTTCCGGTGCTGTCGTGGCTGTGGTTGCACATTCGATTATTATTATTACCTATCCACCTGCTGAAGGAGCAGCACTGGTCAGTAATAATAGGCCGATGTCAGACTTTGCGAATCGAGTGAATCGCTAGCGTCCGCGGTCGCGTTGCGGTATCAGCCAATCGAGCGATCTCTGGCCGCGACGAGAAGTAGACGCCAGGGTGAATATTGCTTGAGGATTCCTCAACGGCACGTCGAGGATTTTCGCCTGATCCTTTACGTTCTCGCGCGCGGATATTCACTCTCGCCACCCGCGAGCCGTCTGTGCTCTCCGCGCGTACATTCACTATCGGCTCTACTCTCGCACAGCAGAGAGCGATGGTCGAGGAATTCCTCGACCGTTACTCACCCTGGTAGACACTAGCGAACCTCTCGATTCGCAGAGTATGGCATTGGTCATACCACACCCCGTCATGATATGTGATCATGTACGAGTTCAAAAACTAGATTCTAAAGCACCTTTTTTGTTCAAAAGACGATGTTAAGGTTCGTTCTATTGCGTGATTGAAAGTGTGATAAGTTGTCTACTAAAAGGTTCATTTGAAAGGTTTATGTGCTTAAATAGCAGTTATTTCACAAGAAAACGAACCATGTCGCAAGGAATAAAAGTCTTAGTCATTTTGCTGTTTGTTTGTTTTGTGGAACCTTATTTAGACGTGATGCTTGCTTTCGCTGTCTAAAACGTCCGCATTTTGTCCTGGATTTCCATATAGCTGCTCAATTCCACCAGTGCAATTTCATTGTTGAGGAACACTCCGTTGAGGAGGCAGTCTTTACTGAATAAGGAAAACTAGCCAAGTGGGACCGAGTCAGACTTGAGCGATTCGCTGGCCGTGACGCGACTGGAACACTAGCGAATCGCTCAATTCGCAAAGTCTGACATCTGCCTGGGAGGCATCAAACTCACTGTCGAGTTGTCTTCTCCCGCTACATGTGTAATGAAGCAAGCAGAAGTTTTGGCAGTGATAAACTATAGTTGCCCTGCCATCTGTCGTGCCACTGATCGTAAAGCTCCTCGAATGGGCGCTAGCAACGTCTCATTGCGATTCGCTGGTATCGCATCATGACCACGGATGCCAGGGAATCGCTCGATTCGTGAATTTGACATTGGCCTAACACGAGTTCCAGTCGTCCATGCATTTTTACACTTATGTGGGCTCTTACATTATTCGTTAAGGCCAACAGGAAGGCTACTGCATTAACTCCAGAGCGTGCGATAGCAAATGGCTGTAGTAAGGATGATGTAAGGGAGGAAAGATGAGGGGCATAATGGTATAGTGAAAGGTGGGGACTTGCGAATGGTAACTAAGCGGCAAGAAAAGGTGGATAGGAAGCCATAAGTTGGAGTCGCTGCCACGCGAATGCTCACAAAAAGAATGTGGCTTTTCCTCGTGAATGAAAAGATGCATATCCGATTTTTAACGCCATGCTTACTAGTCCGATATGATCATGGCTTACTCCAGCGACTGATCATACCAAGAGCTATGATGACATAGGTTATCTCAGCGCTCAGGGACGGTAGTAAAGTGGCCTCAACTGCTAGTTACCATGTGACCATGAGCTCGTGGTAACTTGGTCATGGCTTCCATCCATGTCTCCCTAAAAGATGCGTAGAGCACCTCTGGAACCCCTCCGAAGATTCCCCGTCGGAATGGTCGAAGTGAGTTCGAACTTACTTGGAAGTTGGGGTGATGACATCACGTGCTAGTAAGAGGATTAGCAGGGTGGTCATTTATAAACTAACAGCGATGGCGGCAGAGGAAAAGGAAATAGTGCGCGCGCGGTGGAGGGGCGCAAACATGCTGCCACTTCATCTCTAAAAAGTCCTCCGGAGGACTTTTTAGAGATGGCCATCTCCAAACAGCCAGGCTGTGTGGGTCAACGCAGTAAGTTGAAAAGGGAAAGGGAAGCAACTTGCATTGATCCGTCAATGGTGTAGCGCCTGCGGTCCACGTTTGTGTTGAGCCGGCCACGGGATCGATACTACTAGATGTCAAAATCTTTGCAACTTTTGTGGGTTATTGCCTTTCCTCTAGAATTCTTTCACCGTCAATAAGAAGGGCTCCATAGTGCAGTGGTAGCGATGCCGCTCATGGGACGATGCACCGAAGGTTCAAACCCGTGTGTGACGCGACTTTTGCAAGCAACGTGGTGGATGCTCACCACTTCGCCTATGGCAAACCGCCATTGGATCAATGGGGACGTTCCACGCTGCCGCTGGCAAGGCTTGCTGGATCAGCACCGCTTGGAGACTAAGACTTGCAAGCAACATCCATTGCATACCTTTCATCAACATCTCTTCCAGTGTTGTGGTCGAGTGATCCCTGGTGCAGTGGCAAAAAACCAGCCTATGAGCCCTACCATCCAGGGCTCAATTCCGAGAGAGTTGCAAGTTTTGCAGGTCGGGTGGCGAGGCTCGCGGTTTCAACGAGGGTCATGTCCATGTTTCCACGTTCTCTACTCCTCGCCAATGGATGTAAATCACCACATTTGACTGCCAGTCTAGGGCACTTTACTACCGTCCCAGACCTTTTCCATGCCCTGGAGGGCACAAGTAGTTGATTTTCATTTAGGTCTCTCGGGTGCGCCAACCCATATAATGCATTGTTGTTTTGAGGCATTTATCGAGTAGTAGCACTATCTCATTGAGAGACCAAGGTTCCCGAAAGCACTTAGAGGGATTCTTCCCAGAGAATTCTTGCATCCTCCCCATTATGAATATGTCATTTGCGATCACCAAAGACGAAGTACGAAGATTCTTTCGAAGAGAAATAAACTTATGGAAACCACACTCTATGGACGGTCGGAGATACGCCGCACGTAGCCAGAGGCGCGGCATGGAAAGAAGTGTGCCTCGACGCGGCCACCTATTAGGCGACTCGTTTAAAGAGCTGGGTTGAAGCGTGCGATTTCAGAGAATAGAGGCAAAACGGTCGATAGAATGGCTTGCAGTAGGAGTTTGAGGTGATAGTGGAATAAGTCAAAAGGTCGAAAAAGTTTCTAGTGACAGCACTCCGTGAACCAAGTGGAAGCGTTCCTGCCGCCAGCATTTGTGACAGATGTACGGCGGCAATTCGAACGCGTAATAGTCCTTCCGGATTTTCGAATCGTTTACCAAAGCTAACTCAATTTTTTGTTCTTTTCGTTCTTATCGTGAACCCTTCAAGCAATGTATTAGGTTGTCCCATAAGTAGTGTCGCTTTTTTTCAAACAGAAATTTTTTTCTTAAACCTTCAAGCTTTTACAGCGACTCATATACCATTCGAAAGAGAATTGTCTGCTCTACAAGATACTATGTTTTTCTCCCCCATGCATTGCAAGGTTTCTAAATTTAAGGCTTTTAATTTTAGGTCAGCGAAGAGGGAAGTAAAGCCGACGGAAATCAGCCGAACCGACAACCATCCCTAACTCTATCTCCCCTTAGGAGAAATCAATCAATGACGTATCCTCTACTTATCCATGACCTCTTCTGAGTATTAGGGTGTCGAAACGAATTTGCCGTTTTTTAGAATTCGGTTTTTCTCTCTAACCGATGAGCCGTTGCGATTTTTCAACGACCAGGAAGTGCTTTGAACTTCCCATGGAACTTTGGAAGGAGACCTAGATGTATCGATAGAGTCTTGAACGCTGATTACAAATATGGACACTAAAACTGCTACGTGAACTTCCTAAGAAAGTTATGAGCCTTCAAAGTTGGCAAAAAACGTTACTGAGGCGAGCTTACCTGGTGGAATCACAGTCGCCGTGGCTCTGCGCCAAAAACGAGTCTCATATTCGTAAATCAGGGCACCCATTTACCTTATAGAACAAGTTCCAGGCAAAAAGCAACCGTGTTTCCACATAGGTTGCACCTCATCATTAGCGTTCTTTTGCAACTTTTAAGGCTCACAACTTTCTTACAAAGTTCACGTAGCAGTTTTAGTGTCCATATTTGTAATCAGCGTCCAAGACTCTATCGATGCACCTAGGTCTCCTTTCAAAGTTCCATGGGAATTCAAAACATTCCCTGGTGAGATTATTCCTCTTAATCAATGTTCTTTTATAACAAGTGATAATCATTGAGAGCACCTTCTCTGCTA